TGGCGTATCCAGAACTTTGGGTGAGGACGAGAATAGTATGGGGTTTGACGAAGACAACGTCTCATTTTTTTTTTTTTTGGCTCGGGTGGGTGGTTTGAGGGAGAGGAAGTTAGGGGGAACGAATTCTAAAAAGATAGTGACTCCGTAAGTCAGTAGTGGGTGGCTACGAGACCGCTGTGATACGAACATGTGATGATGACCGGGGCCCACTCGCGTGTTTGTTCTATAGCCCCTTCCATAGTCAGTCCATGTTGCATGCAACTAGACCAAAACCTTTATCCTCCATTATGCATGTGATTAACCACACTCAAAAGGATATATCTCAAACACGGAATTGGAATTGAATTGAAAATTGAAATTATATGAAATTGATTTGGATGAAATTCTTCAAAGTTAGTTTTCGCGGATCAAGTTCTTTAAGAAGACGATTATCGATCTACTCTGTGTATAATATTGATCGTTCTTCTAATCTCATAAAAAACTTGATTTAGACAGGTCTTGATCTGGTCAATGTTGGGTTTAGACCCATCACGAAGTACTGATTAACCTCTTTGTACCTCATTGTTATGGGATGCAAATAAAATAAGAAGAGTTTGTTCTTGCTTGATAACAATAAGAGACATACTGTTTAAAGAGTGTTTTTAATGGTACACAATAATATATTTATTATCCTATATTGAGAAAAAAAAAGCTACTCTCTCCCTTTCGCAAAAGAGTTCCATTTTTTACTGTTAACAAATAAAAATTAAAGAGTATATTTTGTAGTGAATTGTCCAATTTTGCTCTTGGATATAATGTGTAAAGTAAGATGTGATGAGTATGCTAATAGTATAGAAATATGATGTGATAGATTTGGTAAGAGCTAGAAGGAATAAAATAGAGTTTTTAATGAAAAGTAAAAGTGTTTTATGGGAAGAGTAAAAAGTAAAAATGGAATTGTTTTGTGAAATAGAGAGAATATGTTTTTACTCGTGTTTTTGGGTAGTTTCTTTATAATAACAAATAAGTAGGCACATTTTTGTGTGGTACTTATGTCTACGCTAATTTTACGAACCCGTAAAATACTTTAATGTAATGGGCCTTGTAAAAATAAGGAAATCTGACTATATGAGCCTATAGAATTTATGTGAGAAGATCTATATTTTAAATGTGAATTTTAAGACCGTACAAATATCAATTTAATTATAAATGTCCAAAAATGAAAAATAGACAAATAAAATTTGATAAAGACCATTAAATGCGTTTATTAGGGCGGGTACAACAATAAAATTCAATTGGTAAAAGCCCTGAGCCAACCAAAGTGGCGAATTGCCAGCACCCTTAGCTAATTAATATGCTCCGTATTTTTTTTCCATTTATTTTCACCTACAAGTTTCATATTTTGTCTTATTTTCCAGCAAAAATGCATTTTATGTGTGCTAAGGTTACAGCCATTATAACATTTAAATCTAGTTATTAAATCTAATTCTAAGCTACCATCTGCACAATTTGAAAAGCTTATCAAGAAACCTCTGGCTATATTGGTACACGGAATTCAAATTATGGAAATGGAGTTAGAGACAACAATTCCAATTCTGTAGCACAAAAGTATTTGGAATTAGTAATGCAAAAAATGAATTGGAATTGGAGAATTCAATTCCATCCAGACCAATTCCATAGAATTTCAACTCCCAATTTAATTGGAATTCCGTATACCAAACGGACCCTCAAAAAAATATCCTTCTTTCTTTGCAATCATCGAGCTTCACTCACAAGGATCAGACCTGGTTGGGGAGCTTGAGATGCTGAAGTTGGCCAAATCATCTACCCAATTTGGAGGGAGGGGGGCTGGGG